GGCTCCGCCCCTCGCGCGGGTGGGACCGCGGCCAGGTGAGCCCAGGCCCGCCCTCCCCACGTCACCGCGCGGGCGGCCCCAAGGGCCTCAGTTTCCCCATCTGCCCCACTGACGGCGGGAGGGGCGGGAAGGGGCTGTCACCTTCTTGCCGCCCAGAGTCATGGAGCACCCCAGCTCCGCACATGCACAACGTCGGCGAGGACCTAGGAGCCGAGCTGGGAGACACAGAGATGTCGCCCTTGGCGGGGCAGCTGGAGAGGCTGGTCTCCATCCCGCCCAACTCGCCAGAGCCCTTGGCAAAGGGGCCTTTCGTCCTCAGTCCACACTTCTGTAAAATGGGGGTGGTGGCCACGCCTGCGTCCCATGGCTGTGGTGGGGTTTAAGTGGTCTGGCTGGCCAAATGCCCCCAGCAGGCTGGCATGAAGTCAGGCCCCCAAGCAAGTCTGCCAGTCTCCAGACCGCCCCGGGCCTGCCGCTTTGCCTACCTGACCCCATCGGGCTCCACTCCTGCAAGCCCCCAGGGAGTCAGGTGTCTGGGCCTTGGGAGCTCCCACCTGCTTGGGCGTATGTGGGCACCTCTCCCAGCAGACAAGTCCCCCAGGCTGGCCAAAGCCTGGCGAAGGCCATGCTGACCTCCCAGGCATCCTCCTGCTCTGCGCCCACCTGCGTACTGGCTGTTCCAGAGACGGGCCACCTGCAGCAGAGGGCAGCAGGAGCCCCAGACAGGCCCTCAAGCCTTGGTGGTAGGCTCTGACCGCTTGTCCGTACTGGGTGGAGGTCTGGAGGCCTCCCACTCTGGCCAGCTCTTGACCCCTTCCTAGTACAATCTTCCCAGCCCAAGGCTCCATCCCACGTGCTCCCAGTGCCCTTCCCCTGCCATCCCCTGGAGTCATACTCAGCCCTCAAGGCCACCTCCTTGACCAGCCGCCCTGCCCCTGTCTGTCACCTCTGGGCAGCCACCCACCACTTTCTCTTCTTAGGCCTGCTCTCTTCCCCCGATCACCCTCCACCAAGCTCATTCTCCAACATACACGCCAGTCCCATCACTGGGGACTTCCGTGCCTGGCCCCCATGGGCCCTCCCCATGGGCTCTCCTCTTGATCCCCACCTCCTGTGTGCCTGGGCTAGCCAGACCTCAAGGCTCCCTATTCCCCACACCCACCAGGCTCCCACCTCCAGGACTTTGTTCACTGTTTCCACTGTCTGGAGTTGCATCTGAACTAACTCAGCCCTACAGTCCTTCACAGACTCTTCCAGAAAACAACTCATTCTATGAGGCCAGTATTACCCTGATACCAAAACCAAAGACACCACAAGAAAAGAAAACTACAGACCAATATCCCTTAGGAATACAGATGCAAAAATCCTCAACAAAGTACTAGCAAACCAAATCCAGCAACATATAAAAAGGATTTAACACTATGACCAAGTGGGATTTGTTTATCCCAGGAATGCAAGATTGGTTTAATGCCCCAAATCATTTAATGTAGTTCACTATTTCGAGAGAATAAAGACAAAAGCCAACATGATCGTTTCAATCGACACAGAAAACACATTTGACAAAATTCAATAATCTTTCATAATAAAAAGACTCAACAAACTCGGAATGAACGGGAACTTCCTCAATCTGGGTGATGCAAACAGTTAAGCGCTCAACTACTAACCAAAAGGTTCGTGGTTTGAACCCACTCAGAGGTGCCTCAGAAGAAAGGCCTGGCAATCTGCTTCTGAAAAGTCACAGCCTTGAAAACACTATGGAGCTCAGTTCTACTCTGACACACATGGGGTCGCCAAGAGTCAGAATTGACTCAATGACCCTGAGAATGTAGCCCCCGGAAGCTTTTAGCTCAGTCATGAAGTCACTCCCAACGTTTACCCCTCAGCCAAAGATTAGACAGCCCCATAAAACAAAATGAGACTAATGGGGCACAACAGTCCAGGGACAAGGACTGGAAGGCAGGAGGGGACAGGAAAGCTGGTAACAGGGAACCCAAGATCAAGATGGGGCAGTGTTGACATGTCCTGGGGTTGTTACCCACTGTCATAAAACAATGTGTACTGTTTGATGATAAACTATTTGTTCTGTAAACCTTCATCTAAATTACAATAAAAAAATTAAAAAAAAAAAAGCATTGACTCGATGGCAACTGTTTTTGTTCCTTAACCTGATAAAGGGTATCTACAAAATGGTTCAAAATCAGGAAAGACATGTGTCAGGGTTGTATCCTTTCACCATACTCATTCAATCTGTGTGCCAAGCAAACAATCGGAGAAGCTGGACTGTATGAAGAAGAACGGGGCATCAGGATTAGAAGAAGACTCATTAACAACCTGTGATATGCGGATGACACAACCTTGCTTGCTGAAAGCGAAGAGGATTTGAAGCACTTACCGATGAAGACCAAAGACTACAGCTTTCAGTAGGGATTACACCTCAACATAAAGAAAACAAAAATCTTCACAACTGGACCAATAAGCAACATCGTGATAAATGGAGAAAAGATTAAAGTTGTCAAGGATTTCATTCTACTTGTATCCACAATCAACGCCCATGGAACCAGCACTCAAGAAATCAAATGATGCATTGCATTGGGCGATCTGCTGCAAAAGACCTCTTTCGAGTGTTAAAAAGCAAAGATGTCACCTTGAAGACTAAGGTGCGCCTGACCCAAGCCATGGTGTTTTTAATCACCTCAAACGCATGCGAAAGCTGGACAATGAATAAGGAAGACCAAAGAATTGATGCCTTTGAATTATGGTGTTGGCAAAGAATATTGAACATACAATAGACTGTCAGAATGAAAAAATCTGTCTTGGAAGAAGTGAACTCTCAGGAGTGGAAGAAGTACAACTAGAATGCTGTTTAGAAGCAAGGATGGGGAAACTCATCTCACGTACTTTGGACATGTTATCAGGAGGGACCAATCCTTGGAGGAGGACATCATGCTCGGTAAAACAGAGGGTCAGCAAAAGAGAGGAAGACCCTCAAGAAGATGGACTGACACAATGGTTGCAAAACTGGACAGAAACATAGCAACGATTGTGAGGATGGCCCAGGACCAACTCGATGGCACCTAATAACAACAACAATGAAACAAACCCAGAGCTAACATCATACTTAATGGTGAAAGACTGAAGGCTTTCTCCTTAGCCTAGAATAAGACAAAGATGTCTGTTCTCATGACTTCTATTGAACATCGTACTGGAGGTTCTGGCCAGTGCAATGAGGCACGAAACAGAAATAAAAGGCATCCAGATTGGAAAGGAAGAAGTGAGACTACTCACAGATTAATTACCTGATTTTGTATACAGTATAGAAAATGCCAAGGAATCCACTAAAAACTATTAGAACTAATAAACAATTTCAGTTGTAGGACACAAGATCAATATACAAAATGCAATTCTTTGTCTAAAGGCGGAGTTAGCTCAAGCATCCCCCCTCCAGGCAGCTTCCCTGATCTCTGGGGGGTCATGTCTCCCTTTGTGGGGCTAGCACAGCCTTCCCTCCACTGACCACTGATCACACTTGGTTGTAACTGTCCCCCATCCCCACCAGCTCAGGCCTGGCACAGGGGGCACCCAAAGAACCCCGAAGGAGAAGTGGAACGTTGGCACTGGCAGCTGGGGGGGGTTGGGGGTTGCCTCGAAGGCTCGGGCGGCTGAGACAGAGCCCCCCACCCTGCCGTGAGGAGACCTGGCCTGCACATGCGCATGCATGGTGGGGGTGGGGGTGGGGGGCTGCAGTGAGAACAGATGGAGCCCACCGCCTCCTGCTGGTTCCATACCTGGGTGTGGCTCAGGCTGAGGAGTTGGGGGCGGGTTACAGCCACACTCCGGTTCAGCTCAGCAGCCAGGGAGGCCACGGGCAGGATGAGGCTCTTAGGTGGCCAGCAACTGACTTGGGTGGGGAGGGCAAGGAGGGCCAGGTGTGCCCCGGGAATGTCCTTGCTTCAGAGATGGACGCCAAGACCCCCAGCTCCACTCCGGAGGATGGATCAAGGGGGAGGCCATCCCTGCGCCCCAGCCTCCTCAGCCACACCTGGCCCTGCCCTGCACCTACCGGTGAGCCGACCAGGAGCCCAGCCCCAGGCCCAGGATGGGGGCGGAGGAGAGGAAGTGACGGGCCGAGGATGACAGTGATGTTGGTGACCACAGGGCTGTCGGGGAATTTCAGACTCCAGCTCCACCCAGCCTGGGAAAGCGCCGGGGAGGCCCCGAGCAGCACCTTCCAGGCTATGATCCTCAGTGCCCACCCACCATGCAGCCCCGGGGACAAGAGGGTTAGCTCCATTCATTCACCCAGGGGTCCCCACGGGCCTTCCTGCCAGCTGGCCAAGTGGCTTCTGTCCCTCTGTAGAAGCTGCTGGGAGTGTCAGGGAACTCTCAGGAGTGGACTCTTCCAGGCCACTTCACCCAAGAGGAAGCTCAGTGGAGGGCGGTCCCGCAGGGGCCGAGAGGGACGCACCCCTGAAGGCTCCCACCGTGCGGCTCCTGACTGAGGTCCCCAGCGGACGGCGCGGTGGTCACTGCCTGGGGCAGCGTGGGGGGCGGCGGGAGACCATGCTGGGTGGCTGCTGGGCTCTGAGCCTTCCAGAGGCGTGTGGTCCGTGTGTATACACGCATGTGGGTACGTGTTGGCACCGTATGCATGTGTGTTCACACTATCAAGGAGGCAGGCCACCCCCCCCACGCGCTACAGTTCTCTCCTATGGTGTCTACCCCGTCTTCTCAAAGTCGAGCCTGGTTGAGGTGCCTGAGGCCTGGAGCTGCTGGGGGCAGGGCAGAAACCGCTCTGTCTCCAAAGAGACAGCCCCTGCCGAGTAAGGGCGGCTCTGCGGCCCCCACCTGCCGGGGGTCATCACCTCACAGACCCCACGTGAGCCGTGGCTCCGCACACCCACGTACTGGCATGGACGGAGACTCAGACAGGGCCGGCATGCGAGCTTGCCTGAGGGAGGTTATATGTGTGCGTGTGTGTGCTTGCCGTGTGTGCTTGCCTGTGCGTGAGTGGGACGGGGTCCTGCAGGGCTGGGCCCCCCCAGGCTCTCCTCTGACACCTGCAGAAGTGGCCTGGCTGTGGTGACGAAGCCGGGGCCTCGCGTGACCACAGTGTCAGGGAGTTACCATTAGTGGTGACCAGCCTGGCCCGTCTGTGGGAGCCGCAGGGCGAGGGGGTGGGGACCCAGCCTAAGGAGAGAGACCAGGTCCCTTGGGTGCCCTCACTCTTACTCACCCACACTCAGACATACGTACCCATACACATACATGTACTCATTCTCTCTCACACACACACACGTACGTATGCTGACACTCACTCAGGCACACTCACACTCACACATCCTCACACTACCCGGCACGTAGGCAGGCTCTGCACAGGCCCAGGCTCCACCTCACAGCTCGTTAACCCCGCAGGCCTGCGTGGGCGGGTGCTTTCTCCCATTTCACAGAGGATCGTGCTGAGGCTGGGGAAGGCTGGGCACTTGCACCAAGAGCAGGGACCCTCACCGTGGGCCAGGCTCCGCGCTTGCTGGGGTCACCCCATGTCATCATCACGACATGAATGAGCATCATCCTCGTGTCACCAATGAAGACACCGAGGCTCAGAGACACTGAGTAACTCGCCCAAAGTCACACAGCAGATGGTGGAGCAGCCCCAGCCCCGCTCCGGCACACAGCTGCGGGCTGGGATGAGAACCCTGGGTGCCCCCCCTCTGCCCAGCCTCACACTAACTCTTGTTTCTTCCCCGTCAGTTTCCCGCCCCTCCTTCCTCTTCCCAGAATCCTTCTCCGGAAGAGAAGCAAAAGCAGAAATCAAAACCAAAAGCCTCCTATAAAGGCCCAGCCACCAGCCCCGCCAGGGAACCCGACGCTGGCCCAAGGGGTGCATGGCGCGACCTGAGCCCCACCAGTGGAGCCCTCCACGCTCACAGGTCCCCAAGGCCGGCCACCGGGTCCTCAGCCCTGTGCCAGGCCCAGAACACGGCGCAGCTGGGTGGTCAGTAGGGACCTCACTCAGCTCTCTGTCCCCCGGCACACACTGGACACCCCACCTCCCAGGGCACACACAGGATCTAACTGCCAAGGCTACCCCAGGTGGGGTACGGAGGGTGCGGGAGGGGCTCACCCCGACTCCCCACTGCAAGCTGGCCCCACCTCCCTCCTGGCTGTGGACGCTCAGGCTGGCCCTCAGATGTCCTCACAGCAAGCTCTCCCTGTGACCGCCCTGTGCCCCACCCAGCTCTAAGGGCTGACGCTGGACGGGCTGCTCTCTCTAGCGGGCCAGGGCCAGGGTCCCTGGGGTCCCCAATGAATGCCCTGGCTCCCACGCCGCCACCTCCCAGGCCCCCAGCCTTGGGGCCACCCCACTGACCTGATGGTGCTAACCCAACACATCACTCTCCTGCTGCCGAGGGTCGGGCTGGGGTCAGGTGTCCTGGGGCCCAAGGAGGCCATGCGACTCAGGGGCTGCAGGGAGTGGTGGAGGTCCACATGTCCCCGCACTGCCCGGCCCAACGCCTGGCCTGCCGTGCCCGCTTTCTCCTGCTAACAGCCGCCTGCCGCATCTGGTGCCTGGGGCCGCAGGCTTCCTCCCTCCCGGCACTTCCTGCCTGCCGCCAGGCCCCTAGCTGGCGCCACTTCCTGCCCTCCCACCCCTTCGGGGATCTGACGCCCACCTGAGGCCCAGAGCTGCAACCACCTCACTGATGGGCCTGGTGGGCGTCAGTCCCGTCCCACCAGCGCTTTCTCCCGGCTGTGGTCACAGATGCGGCTCTCCGGGCTCAAGGTCAGCTGTGTCCCCATGGGGGAAGCTCCCCGCTGGCCCCCATGGCACCTCTGCAGACCACAGGGGCCCCTCCCAGCCCAGAGCACGGGCCTGCCTCCTGGCACCAGGGTGCCTGCCCAGCATGAGCCAGTGGGGCACACCACGCGGGGGCTCAGAGCATGCTCCTTCCCACCTTCGGAAGCTGACCCAGCTCTACCCTCCAGGCTGCCCCAGGAGGCCCTTCTGGTTTCACAGTGGCCAACTCACCTGCCCTTTGACACCAAGCCTGGGCCCCGGCATTTCTCAATCACTGCCCCTTCCTTCCCCCATCCTCTCTTCCCCAGGCAGCTGCAGCCTCTAGGCTAGCAGGCCCCAGCAGGGCCTTCATGGAGCCCCCTCCCACAGCACTCTGCTGGCTCTGCAAACACCTGAATTTCTAGAGAGCACTTCATGATGCAGCATGGCCAGGAGCTCTCCTGTCACCCTCGGTCACTGTCCCCGGTCCCACCCCCAGGCTTTCTCCGCCCCCACCAAGCCCCGTTCCTTCCCTGCCCAGGCCCAGGTGGGGCAGGGATTCGAACCCAGGCCATTCAGCGCTTAACACCCATGGCCCTGCCTCTCCTCCCCTGAGCATGAGTCTCAAGGGCCTAACTCTCCCAGTAGGACACCGTCAAGTTGGGGGGTGACGGCCAGAGAAAGGGTGCTCTCTGGGGCCGAGGGCACCACAATGGCAGGGTTCGAGGGGGACAGAAGGCCACAGACCACAGGAACCCTGGGAGGCCTCATCTTCTTGGCCTCCATGTTTCCTAGGAGACGGGCACGTGTCCCCCCACCACATGCCCGTGGCTGCAGCAGCGACAGGCCCTGGACACCACCTCTCAGGACTGGCTGTGCAGTCCCCTAACTGTCCCGGGCTGGGGTGTGGGGCTGGGGGCGGTCCTGGGCCCAGCTGTGTCTGTACCCCAGTCCCGCTGCTGAGGCTCCAAGCCACCGTGGGGAACGTGTTGGGGGCCACAGACCACCTCCGGTCTCCCAGAGGGTAAGGAGCTTTGGGTTTGTGTCTGGGGCTTCCTTTGGGTGGACACAGCTGCCCTGGCCTCCCTAAGCCTGCGCCAGCCTCTGTGCCCACAGACGGCGAGGGTAGACCACACCTTCCGCAGAAAGCTGGCCACCACAGACAGGCAGGTGGTGGGCGGCGAGGGGAGGGCTGGGGTGCCTCTTCTCCTTCCCCTTTTCAGCCTGGACAGGGTTGGGAAAGGGCAACCATCCCAGCTCTGTCCTTCACCCGTTGTGTGACCTCAGCTACTAACTTGGCCCCTCTGAGCCTCAGTTTTGCCATCTGTGAAGTGGGCACTGAGGATTGAGATAAAATTGCAGGTGAGGAATCCCTGGGCCAGGCTCTGGCCATGGAATAGCCAGGACAATCCAGGGGGCAGCTTCAGGGTGAACTTGGGCGTCGTGGGGCTGTGGGAGCCCAGGTGAGGTACCAGGCCCACTGGCACAGGGTCGGGGAGGCTTTCCGAAGGAGGGAGGGCCAGGTCTGACAGAGGAGGATGAGATTGCTGGGATGGGGGAGGGATGAGGGAGTTGCAGGCAGGCCAGGGTTGTAGGGGGAGCAGCACCCTGGGTGGGGAGGAAGTCAAGGGCAGTGAGGCCCGAGGCCCTGAAAGGCTGGGGATGCAGGCATCGGGTAAGGACTGGGATTCGCCAGCTCTCCACGGGAAGTCCCAACGCTCTCTGGATAGACAGATGGACAGATGGGTGGATGAAGAGACCTGAGGTTGGTGCAGGAGTCAGACCCTGCCCCCTACCCCTGCCCCACGAGTGCGTCCAAGGACGCAAACACAGCAGAGGCAGAAGTGGACAGGGAGGGCCACGCGCCACCCAGATCCTGTTCCAGGGTAGACCTGGTCCAGCACTTTGAACCTGTGGGGGAGTCTGGGCCCAGAGGAAACAGGCTGGCCTGGGGACCCCCATGGAGGTCAGGAACCTTGGGCTGTGTGACCTAGGCAGGCGCTCCCTCTCTGGGTCTCAGTTTCCCCATGTGCCCTCCCATCCCCAGAGGCAGCATTGTATCACTATGGTGGATAACACTGATGTTGTTGTTGTTGGGTGCCGTCAAGTTGGTTCCGACTCATAGCGACCCTCTGTACAACAGAACAAAACCCTGCCCGGTCCTGTGCCATCCTCACAATCGTTGCTGTGTTTGAGCCCATTATTGCAGCCACCGTGTCAATCCATCTTGTCAAGGATCTTCCTCTTTTTCACTGACTCGCTACTTTACCAAGCATGATGTCCTTCTCCAGGGATTGGTCCCTCCTGATCACATGTCCAAAGTGTGTGAGATGAGGTTTCTCCATCCTCGCTTCTAAGGAGCATTCTGGCTGTACTTCTTCCAAGACAGATTTGTTCGTTTTTCTGGCGGTCCATGATGTATTAGATACTCTTCTCCAGCATCATAATTCAAAGTCATCAGTTCTTCATCAGTCTTCCTTATTCATTGTCCAGCTTTCACACGCATATGAGGCAATTGAAAACACTATGGTTTGGGTCAGGAGCACCTTGGTCCTTAGAGTGACATCTTCACTTTTTAACACTTCAAAGAGATCTCTTGCAGGAGATTTGCACAATGCAATACATCCTCTAATTTCTTGACCGCTGCTGCCATGGGCGTTGATTATGGATCCAAGCGAAAAGAAATCCTTGACAACTTGCATATTTTCTCCATTTGTCATGATGTTGCTTATTGGTCCAGCTGTGAGGATTTTTGTTTTCTTTATGTTGAGGTGTCATCCACACTGAAGGCTGTGGGCTTTGACCTTCATCACTGCGTGCTTCAAGTCCTCTTCACTTGCAGCAAGCAAGGTTGTGTCATCTGCATATTGCAGGTTGTTAATGAGTCTTCCTCCAATCCTGATGCCATGTTCTTCTTCATATAGTCCAGCTTCTCGGATTATTTGCTCAGCATACAGATTGAATAGGTATGATGGAAGGATACAATCCTGACGCACACCTTTCCTAAATTTAAACCATGCAGTATCCCCTTGTTCTGTTTGAACAACTGCCTCTTGGTCTATGTATAGGTTCCTTACAAGCACAATTAAATGTTCTGAAATTCCCATTCTTTGCAATGCTATCCATAATTTGTTACGATCCACACAGTCAAATGCCTTTGCATAGTCAATAAAACACAGGTAAACATGTTTCTGGTATTCTTTGCTTTCAGCCATGATCCATCTGACATTAGCAATGATATCCCTTGTTCCACTTCCTCTTCTGAATTCAGCTTGAATTTCTGGCAGTTCCCTGTCAAAGTACTGTTGTAATTGCTTTCGAATGATCTTCAGTAAAATTTTCTTTGTGTGTGATATTAATGATATTGTTCAATAATTTCCACATTGTGTTGGATCTCCTTTCTTTGGAATGGGCACAGATATGGATCTCTTCCAGTTGGTTGGCCAGGTAGCAGTCTTCCAAATTTCTTGGCATAGACAAATGAGTGCTTCCAGCATCCGTTTGCTGAAACATCTCAGTTGGTATTCTGTCAGTTCCTGGAGCTTTGTTTTTTGCCAATGCCTTCAGTGCAGCTTGGACTTCTTTCAGTACCATTGGTTCTTGATCACATGCTACCCCCTGAAATGGCTGAACTTTGACCAATTCTTTTTGGTTCAGTGACTCTGCGTATCCCTTCCATCTTCTTTCGATGCTTCCTGCGTTGTTTAATATTTTCCCCATAGAATCCTTCAATATTGCAACTTAAGCCTTGAATTTTTTCTTCAGTTCTTTTTTTTCATTGTGCTTTAAGTGAAAGTTTACAGTTCAAGTTAGTTTCTCATACTCTTCAGTTCTTTCTGCTTGAGAAATGTCCAGCGTGTTCTTCCCGTATGGTTTTCTATCTCACTTATGATTTTGCATGTTTCATTATTGTCTTCTTGAGCTGCCCTCTGAAATCTTCTGTTCAGCTCTTTTACTTCCTCATGTCTTCCTTTTGCTTTAGCTACTCTATGTTCAAAAGCAACTTTCAGAGTCTCTTCTGACATCCATTTTGGTCTTTTCTTTCTTTCCTGTCTTTTTAATGACCTCTTGCTTTCTTCATGTATATTGTCCTTGATATTATTCCACAACTCATCTGGTCTTGGTCATGAGTGTTCAATGCATCAAATCTATTCTTGAGATGGTCTCTAAATTCAGGTGGGATATACTCAAGGTCATACTTTGGCTCTCATGGACGTGTTCTAATTTTCTTCAACTTCAACTTGAACTTGCATATGAGCAATTGATGGTCTGTTCTGCAGTCAGGCCCCGGCCTTATTCTGATTGATGATATTAAGCTTTTCCATCGTCTCTTTCCACAGATGTAGTCAGTTTGATTCCTGTGTATTCTATCTGGCGAGGTCCACGGGTATAGTCGCCATTCACATTGTTTAAAAAAGGTATTTGCAATGAAGAAGTCATTGGTCTTGCAAAAGTCTGTCATGTGATCTCTGGCATCCTTTCTATCACCAAGGCCATACTTTCCAACTACCAATCCTTTTTTGTTTCCAACTTTTGTATTCTAATCGCCAGTAATTATCAATGCATCTTGCTTCCTTGTTTGATCAATTTCAGACTGAAGACGCTGGTAAAAATCTTCAGTTTCTTCATCTTTGGCCCTAGCGGTTGGCGCGTAAATTTGAATAATAGTCATATTAACTGGTCTTCCTTGTAGGCATATGGATATTATCCTACCACTGACAGCGCTGTACTTCAGGACAGATCTTGAAATGTTCTTTTTGACGACGAACGCGACGCCATTCCTCTTCAAGTTGTCATTCCCAGCATAGTAGACCATACGATTGTCCGATTCCAATGGCCAATACCAGCCCATTTCAGCTCACTAATGCCTAGGCTATCAATGTTTATGTGTTCCATTTCATTTTTC